GGCTTGCATACTTTGAGAGTCGTCGTCATTGGTGAGTTTATGGAAATAGTATACCCCGTTATCTTCTTCTTCTTCGTCAGAGGTGGGTTTTTAGGGTTCATTTGATTTTGGAAGAAGAGCCATAGAAGATGATGAACCGTACTTTCAGATCTCCAGTCGGGACCTGCCGTGCAGATTTTGCCAGGGCATATCGTAAACCGACTGATTGCAGAGGTGGAGTGCTAGGAGGAGTCACTACGGCAGCGTAGCTGAACAGCACGTTGTCGAGATTGAGTGAGAGGTGAGGCGAACGTGAGGAGAACGACGGTGAGATGGGATTAAGATGAGACTGGGAGTACATCTTAGAAAGTCTTGTTTTAAAAATGGGATTAAGATGAGACTGGGAAACTGAGGTTAGTTACCTAATTTGTTAAATGTCACTGAGATTGTTGATTCTCTCCAAGTGTACCTCTGTTAATTTTTCTCTTAGATAGTTGCATTTCCCCTGCTTTTTATTGGTTGTTGTTAATGGCTAAAGATAACCTCTGTAATTTGTTTGTTGCCGACAATATAGATAAATAAACGTTGCCTTACAAATTCGTCACAATTATATTAGCTAGTCACTTTTGAAAATTCATATTTTCGAGCTGAAGGTTTTGGTCTACGTTTTATGAGGTGTGTATGAGTCCATATCGATCTTTATTTAGGTTTTTTGCGTGATCATTAAAACAATGGGCTGTCCAAGTATATAAAAACAATTACATTTAGTGTATATGTTTTTGTTAAATATTTTTTATTTACGCTTGAAAAGGGATGAAATAAATATAAACCAGATATGATGCTAATATTGTTGCGTTCTTGATACAACAAGGTTTATTTGCAGGATCTCCTTCAGAAAACCAATGGTACAAATGCTACACGGTACATTATGCTACGCGATATCGGTGTTCACATATAGCAGGAGGTTGACACATTTCCTATTTGCCTATTCTCTATTTATAGTATTATTTTCTGATTATTTTATTATATTGGTACTATCAACATTGTCTATATGTAATGTATCGCATGTCGAGTAATTTTGATTATATCTCTTTTATCATATTTTGTACCAATCCATCCATTAATTCTTATTTTTTTACCAATCTCACGAAAATATTTTTACGAACTTATGTATATCTCGCAAATGCTAACGCATTTAGTATGAATACATAATTTGGAGCATTTTGTTAAAAAGAATTATTATTCCTTGCATTGGAATATAATACATAAACCTATGTAGAAATTTCGAAAATTTTTATTTTGTTGAAAAACTTTCAAATGATGAAAAACTATAAAATAAAAATATAGTTATTAAAATTAATATGATATAAAATAACAAAATATTAATTTAAAATAGTTGAAAATTAAAATATCAGGTGTGTAATAATATTATTTTAGTTGTTAGGTTTGGAGTAATATTATTTGATATCCATTCACAATCTTATTGGCAAAAATTTAAAATTTTCTTCATAAATCTAATTAAATAAAAAATAAATTTTTCTCCTGTGAGTTTGTATTCGCCACATGCCACCCTTTGAACATCTGTGCAACGGGTAAATACAAATATCTTTTCTAGAGCTCGAATCCAATCTTCCACAATCGTTAGGTCTCCTTCCCCCGTGAAAGACGGTGGGTTGGCTTGCCGGATTTGTTCCACCACTTGGAATTGATCCCGATTTGGGGGAGCATTATTGTTGTTGGCATGATTGTTGATGTTGCGATTACGCCTAGGCGGGCTTGGAAACATCTTACTTATCAATTTTATTGTAACCGTTAGAAGATTTAAAATGTAACTAAATAGCAGATAGTATACTAAATTGAAAGATAGTTTTATTTCCATTACTTGGATAAACTCCCTTTCGGGCCAAAAATAATATGAAACGACTTTAGTGTGGTGTGTGCGTGTGTATCTATAATACATTATATATATATATATATATATGTATATATATATATATATATAGAGTCGCGCTCACATGAGAATGGTGCTCAGTGAAAGAAATAAGAATAAATCGTAGACATTAGATCGAATAATCTAATGACTCAAAAAAAGTCAAAATTATACCTTAATTAAGAGTACTGTAGTAATTGTTCACACCTAAACAATATGACCCACATCATCCCACACCAACTCGCATGGGCCCCGCACCTCACCTTTCTCTCTCTCTCATTCCCCCTCCCTCTCTCACACACAGCTCACACCACCCCGTCACACACACACACACCCGTCACACACATACACACAGTAACTCTGTCGGACACACACACACAGTAATTCTGTCGGACCTCCTTGACGGCGCCGTCGCCCCGACTCCAGCCGACCCCGTGCTGAGTGACGTCCACAGCCGCTAAAACCGCCGTCGTCGTCGCCGACATCCATGGCCGCTGTGACCCACTTCTCGTCGGCGCCACCCATGGCCACCGTCGGAATCCCGTCGTCGTTACCACATCGTCTTCCTCAGCCGCCTCGTCCAAAATCCGCTGCCACTGCCTTCCAGATCCAGCTCGACGATTCCCGGCGAGGCTGTCATCTCTGCCCTCCACGTCGCCGTATCCAACCTCCTTGCCGCCGTTTCCATCCGCCCCGACACCGGCACCGACTGCCGAGGCCGGATAATGGAAACAAGCTGAGCACCAATTCTCAGAAATCAGAGATTGGGAAAATTTAAGAAATTAGGGTTGGGCCATTTTTTGAGAATTAGACATGTTGAAGGGACTTTTTTGCAAATTAAAACTATTTAACTATATTACAATTTAGTTCATGGGTTAAATTTGTAAATTAATAAAAGTTGATAATTGCACTTTAATGTTCAATTCATTGCACCATATCACATTTGAATTTGTACATAAAAATACTCTCACCATAGATTGCACATTATTGTAGACACATTGCACATTATTATCGCCAGATTGCACTTTAGCGCAACAGTGCATTCTACGCAATGACTAAAATACTATGCGTGAAAAATCAAAAGTTCACTTATTTACAGAAATGCCACAGCGTGTTTGATTAAAGGTGGACCCTTTGACCGTGTCTAGAGCGTTGATATACCATATTCAATTATTTAGGTTATATGGATTCAATTTAATTATTTCGTTTTGGTTTTAATTTTAGATTTGCACATAAAAAGCCCGAGCACAATATTATAAATCGTGATGCACAATAGTGACTGTCGGATTGCACCATACTGTTAAACCAAAAGCACATTATCGGTGCATACCGTATGATAACGCCACATTATCAAAAACAAAAAAAAAAGGTTGATTTGCTATTGTGCATTTTTCACATATATTAAAAATTTGGTTATTTTGATTCGGTTTTGGATTTATTTACACAAGATTAAAAGAAAAAAAAAAAACAAAAGAACAAAATATCCTATTGCACTTTGATTTGGGACAAAATAATAATAATAATAATAATAATAATAATAATAATAAAAAATAATAATAATAATTCAAAATGACTATTTGGTTGCACAACATCGACCAAAATAACCAAACGACTGATATATATATAAAGATATTACTATTCTTATTGTTATTAGATTTTTATGCCTTGCGATTGCACAATAAAATTAGACGTGTTGAACTTTAATGATTATCTGATTGCACAACATCAACCAAACTCGACCGAACTAAAATTTTTATTCGGTTCAGATTTTTTATATTTTGGTTCGATATATTTCGGTGCGACATACTTTCTTATATTAAAAAACTTGATTACCTTGGTTTGATGTCAATATTTTTTTAATCGAAATAATCAAACGAACATTCTATTTAAAAATATTATCATTGTTACTATTATTATATTTTTGTACTTTGAAATTGCACACTTACGTTAAATGAAATGCACTTTATGACTAGTTGATTGCACAATATAGACCAAACTCAACCAAACTAAAATTTTCATTAGATGATTTGTTATTTGTATTTTTAATGTGTACATGCAAACACATTATTGTGCATTTTATAGTCCATTATGTGCATTTAGTATTTTTTTAAAAATTATTTTCGAATTCTTTTTTTTTTTTATTTGAAACGGCAGATTTAATATCACGAAGCCGAAATGTACAACCTGGGCTAAATAGTCTTGGGATAGGACAGGATAAGCAAAATAGTCTTGGGATATCTGTCGTTTACTTACACGGATTGGGATGGGATTGAAGTGAGGTGGCGCACATGTGGCACAGGGTAATCATCTATTAGCTGATAAATTCATCCGGCCTCCCCCCTCGGATAATTTAGTCCCAGCGATAATATGCCCATCTTACCCTCTATTTTCGCTGCAAAAATACTCAAATACCCCTCATTGTCCACGAATTTACAATTTTGTCCCATATATAATGATACAGAACGAGGCATTTGCCCTAGTTTTTTGCAGAGACGAGGTCAAGCGGCGGAAGAAATATCGTTCTTCTATATTTCCGTCGAGACGAAATGTAAGCTCGAAGTTCGCTATACATGTGTGTTCCAATCATGAAATATGCAACCAATCAATTTTGATGATTCATCGGAACCTTGGAATCGTAATTCGTATTTTTATTTTTTTTTTTGTATTCTTTTTCCCTATCTGAAGAAATCGTACTCTGAGGAGGAGGCGGAAGCGTGGTTAGCTTCGGATTTCGCCGAGGATCTAGGTAAGCTCTCCTAAATTCAGTTAACCAAGATTGAATTTTTTGAACTGAACCATGTTTTCAATTTAATTAGTACTGTGTGGTTGTGCATAATTTAATTAGGATGGTGTTGCAGAAAATGAGTTTACATTACACTTTTGTTAACTGTGTTTGTGCATTCATCTCCTAGCAGAAGCCCACTACGACAACTTGCAGTCCTCGTTGGATTGCCGTCTGAACAACGGTGGTAGCCCTCAGTCGAGCCGTAACAGGTGATGGTCCTAAGCTC